TTTTTTTATCCATGTTTATCTATCTACAAATCTCATATTTATTTAATAAAGAATGTTATTTTCAGAAATTAACTTTTAGTACTTCATATTGTTCAACCTAATTGATGATTTTTTTGTCCATATTTATCTAACTACAAAATCTTTTAAAGTTTACAAAAAATCTTATATTATGTGGATTCTTGGTACCTATTTTTTGTACACATCATTTTTCATCTCATACTCAAATTACAAATGTTAATGCGAATCTTAAATATCTCATATTTATTAAATATATATATATATATATATATTTATAGAAGCATGACGATTCATGTAATTATTTTTATCATATATCATGTGTTGGATGTTATTGGCTTTGTTGGAGACCCTCATTATATTCAAATAAATAATATATAATTTTCTATATTTTTGAATTTATTTTGTTGCAATAATGAGATGTTAAATGTAAATAATTATGTTCAAAATAAAGTTTTAAAATAGTTTTAAGTAATAAGCCCGTCCGTGCATCGCACGGGATGCACACTAGTTGGACTAATTTGTTTTTACTTATCCATCAACCTAATTACGTGTAAATTGCTTCTCTCATTTCTTACCTGTAGTTATCAGAGTTTTTTATTTTTTTTAGATTAACTGACACAGTAAATAGTAAAAAAAAATAGGCGATATTTCCTTGAGAACCTTGACAATGAAATGACTTTTGTCATTTATTTTCTGGTCTCTATAATATTATCTCAATTCTCACGTATACAATTTACCAAAAAGAAAATAAAAATCACCAGGTCACAAACATGTCTTTTTCCACATGCCCAGTTTGGAATTAATAGCTAGTAACAAATCTACTTCACGTGAATCTTTCACAATCAACATATTTGGATTATTATATCTAACCAGTGAATTTCAAAAAATATTGTGGCCTTGAAATAAAGTTCTGTTTTGGGCCTTCAAAATTCGATCAATCTCACTCCACACAATTATTGATGCAAACTTAAACCAGGAAATTATTTGCATGTGAATTTCATGTCCTTTCACGGCAATATGCCCAAAGAGTAGGACTCGATCAATTATTAAAAATCCACAGTGCATTGATCATTAGCCTTATTTATTATACCAATTTTTCTTTTCTTTTCTTTCACAACATAAACTCTTCTAACTTTTCATTTCATTTCTCTCACTAAAAATGGAGAACACTAAGCTCAATTTGTGCTACTTTCTAGCATTATGCCTTGTAATATTAATCTCACAAGCTTCGGCCAAACCGAAAGTCCCGTGTTTTTTCATTTTCGGCGATTCCGTGTTGGATAACGGCAACAATAATCACCGGAATACCACCGCAAAAGTTAATTACTATCCATACGGAATTGATTTTCCGGCGGGCCCTACGGGCCGGTTCAGCAACGGGCGCAATGTGGCCGATTTCCTCGGTAGGCCCGTTTATTTAATCGTCATTATTGTCAATTTCTTTTTTTTTTTTTTTAGTTGGAAATGCACGTGCCCATTAATTATTATTATTATTAGTATCGCTGTTTTAATATTATTATTATCATCGTTATTATTTTGATTTGTTTTTTTTTCTTTTTTCTTTAATTACAGCTGAATTTTTGGGGTTTGACAAATACATTCCACCTTATTATGACAATGCCATTAACAAGGATGTCCTAAAAGGAGTTAACTATGCCTCTGGGGGAGCTGGAATATTTTATGAAACGGGCCGTGATATATCTGTAACACCTCTCTCTCTCATGTACATATCTTTAGTAAATTCTCAAGTGTATAATTTAGACATGTAAACGAGTCGGCCAAACCATGCTCGAACTTCTATATAGCTCATGCCTTTATCATTAGTTAAACCGAATCGATAAAAACAAGCTCATATTTCGCTCATTTATCAATAGTAGCGAGCTAAACTCGAGCCTTGATGAGGCGAGCTAAGATTAAAATTCATAAAATTACGTAAAACTTCTATTTTCAAGCCTTATGAGTTCGAGTTTGAGCTCGAGTTCAACTAATTTCTCGAGCCTAGTCAAGATTAGAGCTGTTAAACGAAATGAGCAGCTCGTGAGCTGGCTCCACTCGTTAAGACTTGAATTTGGCTCAGCTCAAGCTCATTTTGCTAGCTAGCAGAGCTCGGCTCAAATTGGTAAGGCTCAAAAAGAGATTTTTTTTTTATAATTTTCTATAGTTGAGTTCGTTAATGCTGGATATCGGCTCGTTAATATTGATAAACGAGTCAAGCTCGAGCTCGTTTTCTAGCTCTCGTTTACTTAACAAGCCGAATCAAGCTCGTTAAGTGCTCGAGCTCGAGCTCGACTCTTTTACAGCCCTAGTCGAGATTGTTTGTTTCGTATAAAAACTATATGTAAAAATGTAGAAAATAAAAGGTAGTAAAAAACAAGGAAAAAAATATATCTAGTTGTTAATTCATTTTTTTTTTTTTAAATTTGTTTTAAATTTCCTGATTTTGGATTTCGGCTCAATTAGGGCGACGTCATCAGCCTCGACGAGCAGCTGGCCAACCACGAAGCAACGGTTTCCCGCGTCGCCGGCTTGCTCGGCGGCATGGCCGCGGCCAAACGGCGGCTGAGCAAGTGCATATATTTGGTGGGAATGGGCAACAACGACTACCTCGCATACTATTTGCCGCAATTCCACACTAAAACGGCGCCGTATGACCCCCACCAGTTCGCCGCCCTTCTCCTCCACCGCTACTCCACCCAGCTCCGAGTCAGATTCCCATTCATTTATTTATTTTTCTTTCCAATTCCAAAAACACCCAATTTTGAGTAAATAAAAATTAATTCCTCTTTTCGATCTTACCGCCGGCAGAGGCTGTACGATAATGGGGCGAGGAGGATAGCGGTGTCGGCGATCGGAAAATTAGGTTGCCTGCCGCAGGTGATCGCCACCTACGGCGCCTCCGACGACCGCTCGCTCTGCGTCGAGACCAGCAACGACGTCGTCCATATTTTCAACGAATTTCTAGGGCTTCTGATCAGAGACCTCAACAATCAGCTTCCCGGAGCGAAATTCGTGATCGCCGGAGATAGCTCCAGCACCTCTTCATACGGTAATCGGATTTAATTTGATCTCAAGCATTTGATTGGGAGAATTTTTTTACCTGTTTTGAGATCTGTTTTTTTTTTTTTTCAGGGAATATCACGGATTTGATCAATCCGTGCTGCCAGGTGTCGAGCGACGTGTCGTCGGCCGGGCAGTGTCTGCCGGAGATTGCGCCGTGCGGTGACCGGGAAAGGTACATGTTTTGGGATGGGTTTCACCCGACGGAGGCGGGTAATTTGGTATCTGCCAAAATTGCGTACCAGAACATGGAGCCCTTGTATGCTCTTAATGATAATAACAATAATGGTGTGGGTGTTTTGTAATTTTCTAATTTTTCTTTTCCCGTACTTTTGGTGGTGACGTGGTTTTTCACGGGGCCAATAAATTTGTTCTGCTGTGTTGATTTGAAATCAAATTATTGAATTTGGACGGAATTGTGTGTCTCGTTGTAGTCATGTATTTTTCCGTTGACTACAAAATAATGACTTTGACTTTTCAGAATTTTCAACGGATTGACTTAGCAGATGTTCTCAATAACTATTAACTATAAATGTCATTGGAACTAAACTGTGCGAATTAACGAAGCTCGACCGATTTGACTTCTTTGTTAAGCTTAGACGAGTCAATCTCGAACAATTAATCGAACTCGTTTATTAATCGAACTAGGGTTAACCGAGCTATTTTGTGAAAAAATTGTCTATCATCTACTTTTTTTTTATTTACATATTTTGAATGAACATCCGAGCCGAGCATGTTTACAAACGCGCAAATCAAGTTCACTAGCAGCTCGTTTACGATTTTGAGTTTGTAAAAAGCGAAGCCGAGCCAACCCAAACTTAAACCAGTCAAACATGCAGTGCCGGCTCTTGGGCTAGTTGGCCAAGGCATAAGCCTAGGGTCTCTAGTTAATAGGGGGCCTCATTTTTTAATATAGTAAACTTTTTTTTTAATTGTTAAGTTGTTAGAGCAACTTTAATGCGAGCTGTTGCACAGGTTTGAAAAAGCCACGTTCACAGCTTTTCGGTTATAGTTGAAAGGTTTGGGGTTTATGTTTTGTATCCAGCGTTGTGTTCCTAACACTGGTGAAAAATGTTTATTTAAAAAAAATAAATAAAATGAAAATGGGGGAGTGAAAAACACACATTGCAATCCAAATAACAAGTCTTGCGCGTGCAATTAAGAAATGAGTAGAGCACGTGAGCAACTTTGCCTCGCACATGTACCCAACTTTTTTGTCCACTTGACTTTATTTTGTTTTTCTTCACATGTTTGTAATTGCATTTTAACTAATTATTTTTTTTCTTATAAATTTATATTTGTAATTAATATGTTGCTTCAATTGTTTTGTAGTAAAATAAAATTGTTTTGTTTTTTAATTGATTTTAATATTAAAGAATAAATTAAAATTAATATCTATTAAAAATAGAAAAAAAAAATTGGGAAAATTAATTATTTTTCTTGTCGAATTTTACTCACATTTATTATTATTAAAAAGAGTAATTAATAAAAAGTTATGAAATATTATAATATTTAATCTAAAATAATGGATGGATTTTTATACGTTAATTAAAATATGAAAACGAGATATTTTCGAAGAAGAACGAACTTCAACAAACATTGCTCGTTAAATAAAAAGTAAAACGAGATTGTTCGGTTAAAAAAAATTACTTGACAGTAATTCAAGTAAAACGAGATTGCTCGTTAATTAATAAAAATTACATTGCTCGTTAAATAAAAAGTAAAACGAGATTGTTCGATTAAAAAAAATTATGTAAAAATTATGAGTAGTGTTTTTAATAAATATGAATTAAATTGATATATAAATTAAAGTGAGTGGGAAACATGCGGGGCCCACTAATAAAGATTTTTGAGGTCTATGGTTATTGGAGATTTGTGATATTGGGAGTAAGAATGAGGTTTAGATGATGTGGAGTATTGAGAATGTAAAAAGTAAGGTTTATAAACCTTACCCATTAAAGATACTCTTAATGAAGACAATTTTGTATTTAGTACATTGATCCTGT